CCTACATGCAGAAAACCTTCTGGTAGGCTCATGGAGATGAAACCACTGTTTTCCAGCACTTGTTTTCCAGGCAGACTCGGAGGGGAGAGCAGGGGCTGATGTGGGATGCAGGAGGAATGCAGGACGCGGGAAGAAAAATTACTCTTATCAACAGAATTCAACCCAGGAGATCTGAGATATGCAAAAGTCTCAAGCTAATAAGCTGAGCAAACAGTACTTAGAGGGCCATGGCCAGGCACAATTATGCAATGTTGGTTTATTTGCTGCTGCTGGTTTGATGGAAGAAATCCCGGGTGGCAGGTGAGGAGCTCAGGGCTCAGGAACTTGCTTGTGGCCAGGGCACAGGGCTGGGGGCCTCCCAGCACACACGTGGCTGGGAGAGATTTAAATGTCAATTTAAATTATTGCCAAGTTCAGAAACAAAACTCTCAAGACACTTAAGCCCTGAACTGTTGTCTTTTTTTTTGTACCCTGTAGCTCCTGGGAAGCTCAGCAGACGAGGGAGCTCTGAGGCTCCTGCTGCATCCACCTGGAGTGAGGACCTTCCCTACAGAGTGTGGCTGTGGTTCCCAGCTGAAATCCAACCCGGGGATGAAACGGCTGTGGGATGGACAGTATGCACCTTCAAGCATGGAAAAAATAAGCACAATGAGCTGTCGAGGAATGCTGGCAGGCAGGGAGGACCCGGGGGGCTGCTGCCTGCTCTGGCAGCTCCACAGCGTGGGTGTCACCGGGCCCTTGGTGGGCAGGGATGCAGGTGGGCAGTGGATGTGGGGAGGTTGATTTGGTGGCATCAATGACATGTGGGTGCTTCCATGGCCCCTCTTCCTCAGAGCGCTTGATCAGGGTGGTTTGGGACAGCAGCCACGTGTGTTGGTGAGTGCAGTGAGCCCGGCGCGACAGGGGACAGTCCTGTCCCCGTCCCCACGTGCGTTCGCAGCCCCGTGCCTCCCGGGGCCGAGCTGCTGTTCCCACCAGGCCGCCTTAACCACCCCAGGCTTTAAAATAGAAGCAGGAACCCTGACTCACCCTTCCCACCCTCCTTCCAAGCGTGCAGCAGAGCCCGGTGCCCCCTGCCCGGTGCCCCCTGCCCGGTGCCCCCTGCCCCCTCCCCGCGCCAC